GTCGCAAACCTGGAAGATTGCATCCTGGGGCTGGATGTTCTTGGGACATTAGACTGTTTCATTGATACAAAGAGGGGTACACTCACTTTTCCAGATGGACAGGTCGTTCAGATGTGTAGGCGGCCATCCCAGACAGGCTGTCGTGTGACCCATACCATTATAACACAGACAACAGAGACAGTGACCGACGCCGTTGCTTGTTGCGACCCCCAGATGACGGCACCTGCGCAAACCCCCACCCTGCCGTCCCTGGACCATTGCCTTCACCCAGTCATTGCTGCAGAACCTGTCGCAGATGAGAGAGTTTCGGCAGTGATAGACGTCTGGCAGAGAAACTCTGATGGACTAACTCCCAATGAGCAGAACCTGCTGCTGCAGCTCTTGCTGGAATTCAAAGACTGTTTTTCACTGTCTGAGGCCGATGTTGGCCGGACAGATCTCATCGAACACAACATCGACACTGGAGATGCACAGTCCATTAGAATGAGACCACGATGCCTCCCTCTGGCCAGACAAGCTGCAGCAGATAAAGCACTAGGGGAGATGCAACGGGCTGGACTCATCGAACCCTCCAACAGCCCCTGGGCCGCTCCAGTAGTCATGGTTCCCAAGAAAAATAAGGAGGACTTTCGGTTCTGCGTAGACTTCAGACCGCTCAATAAAGTGACCAAGAAGGACCTATACCCCCTTCCTCGCATCGATGAGGCACTCGATACAGTGGCAGGGTCTTCCTGGTTCTCCTCCCTGGACCTACGCAGCGGATATTGGCAGGTCCCCCTTGCCCCTGAGGCCAGACAGAAAACAGCCTTCATCACCAACGGGGGTTTATGGCAGTTTAAAGTTCTCCTATTCGGCCCCTGCCACGTTTGAGAGGCTTATGGACCAGGTGCTGGCAGACATCCCATGCCATGAGTGTGTTGTTTACCTGGACGACATCCTCGTCCATGGGAATTCCTTCGAATCAGCTCTTGGGGCCCTCAAACGTGTGCTGGTGAGAGTGGCTGGAGCAGGACTAAAATCGCACCCCCAGAAGTGCTGTTTCGTGAAGCGTGAGGTGACTTTTCTCGGTCACAGGTTAACGGAGGGCGGCATCGGCACCATGGGAGAGAAGGTGCAGGCTGTGAAGGACTGGCCCACCCCCAGCTCTGTGCAGGACCTGAAGAGCTTCCTGGGCCTGTCCTCCTACTACGGGAGGTTTGTGAAAGGGTTCTCCTGCATAGCTGCGCCGCTGTTCCGCCTGTTACAGAAAGGAGAGGTGTTTTCATGGACAGTGGAGTGTCAGGCAGCATTTTCTTTACTACAGGAAGCCCTAGTGGAGGCACCAATCCTCTTCCCCCCCTGACCCCACCCTTCTCTTCATCCTCGACACCGATGCTAGCAACAGTGGAGCAGGAGCCGTGCTGGCCCAGGTGACACCAGAAGGAGAGACAGTAGTGGCCTACTATAGCAGAACATTTAACAAAGCTGAACGCCGCTACTGTTTCACCAGACGGGAACTGCTTGCTGTGGTCAGCGCCATCCGGCACTTCAGGTACTACCTAGGGGGCCTCCACTTCACAGTCCGAACTGATCACTCTGCCTTACAGTATGTGTATGGCCACATGTGTGTATACTGTAAGTGAATAAGCCTCTATCCTGCTCCCTAACTTCCTTCACATGATCCCAATAGAGTGGTGAATCAGCAAGTGAGCATCTGATACACACACGCACGCACGCACATGACCTACGCAGCAAAACACAGCTGACACAAAAAGAAAACAGCCTCTGACTTGCATGCCTAACAGCAGATGTTATCTTTTTCTGAGAGAGTGTAATTAGACTCTTAATGATGCTATTTGATCACTATCAGTCACAGTTTAAGATTATATGGCATATTGTTTTGCTTTTGTGGCTCCACACACCTTGTAAAGACATAAGGTTGGTTCAAACACCTACAACCCAACAAAATGAAAGTTCATACAAGTTCTAAGTGTGTTTTCTAGATCAAATAACTTCTTGCATCAAAACATTGGGATTAGCCTATTTTATTAGCAACAAGTTTAAGCATAAAATCTGTAAAGTCAGATTCTACACCATCTGCACCACTAGCTGAACACACAATAAAACAACTAATATCTGTATATTTTACATATATTTGTTACTTAGGGTTTTGTCCACCGTGAGTTTTAAAGCGCTCGATCTTATCTTTTGGTTTACTGTAAAGTTGTGGTTCAAATACAGTTAAACATGTATTTTTATAGAGATTGTCTTTTTATAGAAACAAATATGGATTGTATACGGTCAGAATTTGCCACTAGAAGCTTATTGTCTTTCATTTCACTTCACCCGAATAAACATCGAAACACAAAACAATGATACTACTATTACTTTAAAGCACGAGAATAATGTACCACTGTTTAAACGCCTGCTATGCAAGGACTTCAGTGTGAATTCATTACTGGTCTAAAGTCCAGCAGATGGAAGTCTTTATGTAAATGAATGTTTCTTATCAGCGGGCATGTTCAACACCCAGACAGTCAGCAAGTGTGTGAAACAGCTGTGAGACGAGAGGGAGAGAACATCCAATTACATGCAATTCGGGAGGAATGGTGGGTTTGATAAGCAGAACACAATAGCTTTTCTTTCAAAATGGCTAGTCTGAAAGGTAATTGTTTACTGGAGGGTAGAGTTAAAAAAAGAAATGTTCTGCAGAAACTGAGGTTAACCACATTTGGTAGGCGGTCTCTTTTCATATCATGCATCATCATCGTTGGAAGATGTCAGCAAGATGCAGCCAACTTGTGAGAAAATGCAGTTTACTGGATGTGTGTTTGTGTTCTAGGTTGAATTTTACCGGTACAGTTCAATGTTGATACTCGATTAACCTCAAGGTGACAAAAGAAGCATTAAGGATGTGACAAAGCTTTAATTTAGGACACTATAGTTATAGTGAGGATCAGCTTTTTGCTTGCCATTTATTTGCTGCGCCTAAGTCCAAATACAGAATGTCTTACAATAACCACTTTCATACAGAATTCCCTTGTGCTACCTGAAAAAATCACCTATAATGCTGACAAGTTGTGACCGCATTTAAAAAAATACATGTACCAATTACTGACTAAATAATTAATCTGTTCATCAAAAATAAACTTGTATACAAAAATACATCTTAAATGGTTCAAATCCTGTAAAAAAATGAACTTCATAATATTTACAATTTATGCAACTACAAGTTAATTTACAAAGCAGAAGCATGCTGCATGCTGATAAGTCAACTTTACGAGTGGTAAATGACAGTGTATTATTCTCTTAATTAAGTTATATTTAACCATGATACCATTTTATTAAACTTGACCCAACCTTACAACAAGTTTGGATATTGGTATATGCCCTGAAACTGTTTGAGCATGCAAATAAACTGTGAATACAAGCTATTGTTTAAATACATGTGTTTTTCTGCCTAGTTCAACACACAAGCATTACATCTCACTTGCAGACACACGGTCATCTTTACGCACCAGCGATGTCCCATAGCTGCAGCCGAAGCACCGTCCCCTGGTCCCAGGTCAGCACCTTCAGGGCGAAGTCCACCCCGATGGTGGCGCGGTAATGCTGGGAGAACACCTGGTGCACGTATCGCTTTATGATGGACGTTTTACCGACTCCTAGATCTCCGATGACCAGGACTTTGAGCAGGCGCTCGTGCTGCATTACTGCTCCGGGCGAGGACGCGCGCTGAGTGGGATGGCACGGTGATGTCTCCAATTATGGGACTCGCATGAAGGTGGGTTTGGCCACTGAGAGGCAGAATACTGTAGTGGATGCTGCAAAACTGAGTAATACGTGCAATATTTGACGCTGGAAAGAAAACTGCTTTAAAAGGGAACTATTTTGCAGAAATAATATTAGAAATAAAAATGTTGAGAGGACATATTATCCATAAATGTCTCTGAAAGTCGCTTTTATCAGAGTCTTGGGTCCTGCAGATGTAAAAACCTGTAAAAATGTGGTTCAAGGTGTCGTTTTGTCATCGTACAGTCCAAGCAAATCGTCAAGAGACATTGCAAAAAGTGCAAAACAGTTTAAGAGAAAAAAGGAGAAGTTGCTGTCGTGTCTTGTCCAAGTGAAAGATAAAGACTTCAGTGTTATCTGCTCAGCCTGCGGTCTGTGTGCAGATCTCCTGCTGTTTGGTTTGCTGCCAGAGAGCAAACTGGGCTGAGAGACTGACAGCTGGAGAGAGAACGACCACACCCCCCAAAACCATAGTGTGAGTCTGCGTTTCAGGATCTGCTGATATTACAAAACAAAGAAAAGAAAAGAAACTATTGTAAAAAAACTGAACGAGAAAGACTAGCCTATATCTTGACTGGACATCAAATGTTTCTTGGAAATGTCTGATATTGCACAAAGGCTATCCAGAATTTGGATTAGCATATTAATTGAAAAATAAAATACAACCTAACATGCAGTAGCATTTAAAAGTGTACTTGTTTAACCTAAAATGTTCTAAATCTGACCTTCGTGAAGAAAATACAACAAACTCACATGTAGTTCAGAAGAAACTACAACTCCCAGCTTGCAACTCGTCCAGTTCCGTGTATGCGCACTGAGATATGTGCACACGGACAGCGCACGGGAGCAGTGAGTGTGCAGCTCTGGTTTTACTGAAGTATACAAACATAAAAAATACATTATAATAATAATTTACCAAAGTAAGGCTTCTATGAGTTTAATGTTCTTTTTATTTACTTATTTAAAGATATATTAACATGTAACCCTTGCCATTATGTCCCTAACTTCAAACTGCAACAATGTATTTTGTCAATCCAAAATTGTATTACTGACAAAAACGAATAATAATACTGATAAACCGTCCACAATATTCCTTATTTTAACATGTATTTTAAGTATATGTCTGATAGTTCTCTCTCCCTCCAAACTCTCTCTTAAATGAACCACAGTGCATGGTTTTCCTTCAGTGTTGCGCCTCTGCACGGTGCTTTACGGCAGTGGTACTGATGCGGGATGAGTCAGGCGATATGATGCTGCTGCTGCTGCCATTTCATCAGCAGCGAAACGCTACAAACACACAGCAAACACACAAGTGATACCGCGGGTTTCCCCTCTGACAGCCCCCAAAAACACCCCTGCTCCCCGGCGTGGAAACGCGCATTTCTGGGTGGTTTATTCCTGTTGCGAAAGCGCAAGATCCGGTTTTTATTGCACCTGCTCTGGATACGTTTTTCTTTCTCAAGCTCTCGATCGGGCCTGACATCAACAAGGAAATCAGTGCCGACCCCAGGGCCTGCTGTGCACGAGCGTCTGTGTGCAGGATCAGAGACAAACATCGAGCTTTTGGAGGAGTTTGTGCAAGTAATCGGTGCCATGGAGTCCACACCAGCCTCCTGAAAAGCGCAAAGGGAACAGAAGAGGAACCGAGTCCACTCCTGCTGCAAGTAAGCTGCTTTCTTTTGACCATTAAAGGCATATATTATCTTATTTATCATGCTATTAAGCCTAAAAGTGATCTTAAGAAAGCTCATAGGCCTGCTATTATGTGCACTGGTCTAATAATAGCCTGCAGACTGTCTGAGCTAGTAGACTCTTTATTAGATTAATATATTTAGACAGGCCTCCACACTTTGTAGATTGTACGTTTGACTTCTTTTAAATGGTTAATTGTTTTGGCTATTATTTTATTCTTGTTTATTTTAGTTTTTACCTTTTTTGTCGTTGTATTTGTTACTTATTTTATGGTTTGTGAGCTTAGCTGTGTGATTTTTGTATTCGTATTTATTTCTCCACAGCACTTTGGTCTGGAGGTTTTAAAGTGCTTTACAAATAAAGCTGTATAATAAAACGTTTTGGAAGCAGCACAATATGATTCAACCTCAGCTTGTATAAAGCCCCACATGGAGATATAGTAGCTACTGTTCATGATGGGACAGGGTTTTGGGACCTTTAAATGTGGGATATGTGATACCCTCTGTGGCGGGATGGACCTCTAAATCACCCCCGACATCACTTCCGGTGTGAGAGCCCCCGGGCTGCAGCTCTCTGGGGATTCAGCTCTGATGTTTGCATACCGACCGAGCTACGCAACCAGAGAGAGGAGGGGGGGGAGGCATGTGTCTGGCCATGGTGTGCAACTGCACTGTAAGAGTTAGAGATACATAATAGGTAAAACAAAATGACACTTAGGCCCTTTACCCTTACTGTACGTTGAGATTTGTAATGACATTTTCGTTAATATTGCAGAGGAACACTCAGAAAGGCTGTGAGAGACTATCAGTAGCAAAATTAACTTTACTCACTGATGCAAAACAAATCCAAAATGAACCGTTGTTTTTTTCTCTTTAAAGATTTGTTTTTACTTTTCTACTTAAAATAGATCCTTTGCTTGAGTAAAAGTTGAATGACTACAAGTACAAGTCCTAAATTCAAAATGTAATTTAGCAAAAATGATGCTACTGACATAAGCAAAACGGTTCATTCAAAAAAGATTATTATTTGATATTGTTAAGAAATACATGGGCATTTTTATGAAGTTCTTCAATACTTTGGACGATTGATAGTTGCTGCTTTGTAACATGCGCATGCTGTGTGTTCTATATATATTTTAAACACATGTGTTGAGTTAAAATACATGTATTTTATTTACCTTTGAGATGTAGTGGAATAGAAGAACAAAGTAGCACAGAGGGGAAATAAGTTGAGAGCACAAACTTGAGTTAAAAGTGCAATAGTCCCTTTAAAATGAAGCTAAATTAATACAACTAAAAGTACAAAGACTTAAACATGGCGTCTGTTTGTTAGTGTGGTACTAAAGTCCTGACAAATGTAGAAAAGTGCTCCTATGATCCCACTATGTAAAATCAAAAGCTAGCAGTATATAGGTCTTTCTAATTATTCAGAAGGTCACACATTGAAATGCCAAAGCCTCGTGTAAAGCAGGGCATTAGGCAGCAGCCAATAATCCAGAAAATCAGGCTTATTTAAAATATCACTTGACGCCATCGAGTGAGGGGAAAAGCATAAGAGGGTTTTCTCTCATACTCGTGGCTTTGATTGAATCACGCACCGAACACAATGAAGCAGTTCTTTGTGTGGAGTGGGCAACGAGCCAATCAAAGGGTCAGAGGTCAGACAGTGAAGGCTGGGAATATATTTCAATTACATTCATTTGAGGTGTTTGTGCTCAATAATAGAGTCCTTCGTGTTATTGAAAGATAAGTTATGAAGGCCTTTGTTGAAGTACTCTACATTGATAGCGCATAAGTCATTATCAAAAGAATAACAGAATAAGAAATATAAGATATGTTCAGTACCTAAAAAGCATACTAGTCTCTTAATGATGATACTGCTCTTATACAACGGTTAAAGGATTTCAATATATATCCTAAGAGGAGTACAAAAAGTAGTCCCCTTGCCCCCTTCACAACAGTATCTAGGCAATATTACTGGATGCATTACGTATTATTGCCTCCAGCAGATGTGGGGTTAATTTGTATGTCTCTATGAACAGCTGAATATATAAACCCATGTTTTTACATGGTAATTCAGCCTATAACAGAATTCAGACTTTTCTCTCAGAATTCTGACATTTTTCTCAGAACAAAAAAATAAAATGTCTTCACATCCCCACGTTTTTTTTTTTATGTGGCCCTAATCCTCTTCCGTAAGGTTATGAGTATCCACAACTGGCCTAGGGTATATTTTAGAGACATAATCTAATGATCTCTCTCTGTATGCAGACGCACCGCCTCCTCCCCACGCGCTCACCTGAGCAGACAGACCGGAGAGCGAGAGACAGACCGGAGAGAGACAGACCGGAGAGAGACGGGAGAGCGACAGACAGACCGGCGAGAAGAGAGAGAGACAGACCGGAGAGAGACCGACAGACAGCCAGACAGACAGCATGGAGGCCATCTGGCTGTACCAGTTCCGGTTGATCGTGATCGGGGACTCCACGGTGGGGAAGTCGTGTCTGATCCGCCGCTTCACGGAGGGTCGCTTCGCCCAGGTCTCAGACCCCACGGTCGGCGTGGACTTCTTCTCCCGCCTGGTGGAGATCGAGCCGGGCAAGAGGATCAAGCTCCAGATCTGGGACACCGCGGGGCAGGAGCGATTCAGGTGTGGACATATATCATTATACTGGGTTTATTATAAGGTGTTACTCGGTTTTAAATCATGATGTTGCTTTAATATAGTTGCACCTGTTTGCCCCTTGAGCTTCATTCATTGTTATGTAAAACATGGCAGCAAAAGTGAAAGTAACACTACACTGCAAAAAGTACTCAATTTTTTGTTAGCATTCTACCATTTTATCATATATACTCAAAGTAGGATAAAGTTATTACTTTTGTACATGTTATTAGGTTCCTATAGCTAGAAATAAGCGTATCCGCATATCTTAACTGAGTTTTAAGAAAAATATAGTGCATTCTATCATCGTATTTTTTAAACTAAATGTACCTAAAGTTCGAAAAGTAAACGTATGGCTCTATATATTAAAGTTCTTAACATGTTTTGTCAGATTATAAGACATTTTAACAGGGTTTATTAGAAACGTATAGATGGGTGTTCTGAGAATGTAAATCAAAACCATTTGACTTAATGATGATAATTGTTGCGCAACAGGAAGTCACGCATTACATGTTATTTTCTGTACTTAACACAGAAAGAAGAGCTGGGAAACTGACGAATAAAACTGAAACTCAGAACAAAACTAACTTAGTACATAATACGCAGAAATCAGGTCAAGACAATTCTAAGTGCACAAGTGATTTCTGGGAAATGTAGTTCAGAATCACAGATAAAAACACAGATGTCCCAAATAAGGAAATTGTGGTACACAACTTTAATTCTGGTTTTTGGATATTTAATAGGAAAACAGCTGCTTTTAAAGAACTGAAAAGTAGATGGGCTTCTTCTTTGGAAAGACCCGTGGCTGACCTCTGACCTCTCTGCTGAAGTACAAATATGTATAGAGATTTAAAAGAAAATCCAACTTTACACAGGTTAGATCGTGGACTAGCCACACCATTTTAGTAGATTTCTATATCAGGACTCGCATTTAAAATATCAATCAGTAGAAAATGAATTGTATATTCCTCATTCTTCAAAGACATAAAATAAACTAGTAGTTTATATCCAAGTATAAAAGATACACCCTAAGTTTGAAAAGAATGGACGTTAATGATATTAAACGCTTCATATTTGAATGATGTAGCCTTGAGGTCTTAAAACTTGAAAAGCTACCTGTGACTAAATTGTTTACACATAAAAAGAGAGAGCAGTTATTCAAACAAGCTTTTAGGGGATACTGGCAGAGAAAACTGCTGGAGGGGTTGATTCTAATTCCTAAACACATGACAGTGCTCCTAATAGCCGAAATTAAGAGTGGTAATGGCACGGATGATTCTGCCTCTACTACTTTGCTTTTTTTCACACTGTTAAAAGTATTTTCATATGGTGTTAACGAGATGTTAGGAGACACCTGGAAGGACACCATAATGTCATGATCTCAGCGCTTATATTTAATATTAGTACAGTATTTATAATACAATATATTATAATAATAATAATAGACTGACTAGGGGCTCTGCACACCCTTGCAGATGTTCCAACTTATAAAAGCTGACTAAATCTTTGCTTAAATTGAAAGTAGGCACATACTGTATGCACCTGCCAAGCACTAAGGACAGTATTGTGATACAAAAGTAGTTTATCCCACTATAAGAGGTGCAGAATGTGTCCAAAATAATTCCTTATTTACTAGAGTATATGTAATGCTCTCTGTTTACACATCATTTTATTTGAGGTATGCTTTTGTAGTACCCTCTATGATTCAAATTCAATGTTTATGTTTACATTTAAGACTGTAGTATATGATTTGTAGGCAGATATATCTCTGCAGCACCACAAATTATGTCTTTCAAAATAGTATTTTGACGCGTAATTTGCATTTGTCAATGTCAGTGCTGTCAAATGAAGTATCAGAAGAACTGGAAAAATATATCAAACTTTAGTCAATCTACTCATGAGGCTGTTTTTAATAAAACATCTTTACGCCATTTAAAGGATCCCTAATCCCTAAAACCAAGAGTAAAATATACATAGCGATGTCTTATCATCTAAAATGCAACTTCACACATTCTTACTCACACACACACTCATCGCGCTGACAGAAGGGAACTGGTCTCACCTGTCAGTGTGATTAGTGTCTCCATGGCAACACTGACACATCCCCCCTCCCCCATCAGATACGCATCAGATATAAATGTCCCCCAAGATGTTTTTTGAGAACATCAAACGTTATATTTTGGAGAGTGTTTAAAGATGTATGGAGCTCAGACTGTTTAAAAAGTACTGAGAGAAGGACGAACACATTTGGTCTTTCGGTGGGATTTCTGGACAGTTACAAAAAACATGTTATTTTCAATTGGGTGGTGCAGGAATGAGCTTCAAACCTGGGAATGAGTTAGCATTTTAGCACTTTCGGGCTTCCTTGTCCTGGAGTTATTATTATATTTTTGCTTAGTGATGTGAAATATATCAGTAAATACCACGCTAGAGGATTCCTGAAGCTGTTACATGGCTTAAAAAAGCGGCTTGCTAACAGGTGGCTAACTGAAACTGCTACACGAACATTAGCCACCTTTAGCTTAGCCACCTTTAGCTTAGCGACCTTCATGGAGTTGATAGCACTATGCTAGCTATTTACTTCTGGCAGTTGCGCTTTACTTCAGCTTTTATAAAAGTGGTTTTAAATTAATATGTGGAGATTATCCTGCTGAACAAAACGTGTAAGTATCATAAAGGTGTGTTTGCTAGAGTGCTTGCCTTATTCTCTGCAAAAATACGTCATCACTGAACCACTCTAGCACAGACAAGGGTTTTAACTTAAATGTGTCATACATCGTCCCTTCTGTGTCTCTTCTCTTCTGTCATGTAGTTTTAGTTTGGATTTAAGCTTCAAGACAATATACTTTCCTGACTGCATTCAGGTTGCCATTGTGACAAAAAAAAAAACTTATCCAGTAGTGATGTTTCTACATATTTTGGGACTGCTGTAGTGGATTTCTGCCATTTTCTTCCTGCTCCTACACAGAACTGCAAAGCCTCTGATCTGAATCCAGCTCATCCCAATATCATCTTAGTCATTGTTTTAATTTCTGTGTGCTTCTTTCCTTGCATAAATATTTGTGTGCGTTTCAGCATTTTTGGATCAAATGAATCACTCGCTGTTTCTGAAATCTTTCCACCTACACTTCGTCTCTTGCTGTATTTTTCTCCGTCGACTAATCCCCCCCTCTTCGTCTTTCATGACACGTCTGTCCTTCCTGTCTGCTGTGGGAAGATAGATGAGGGGGTTGGGGTGCGTTTGTTTGCATGCAGGGTGTCACATCTTGTCAAAATCTATCAGCTATTCTCCTCCCAGTTGGGCTGCAGTGTTGTTTCTGTAAAATCAAACACTTTCATCCCACAGCTCAACGGATAACAGCTTTTTAAAGGTCGATATTGATATTGTTGCAAGTTAACAATGCCTGTACAGTTATTTATTATAGATTCATTGGCAGTGCTGATTATGTACCATTTCACATTTAGTTCAATTTAGTTAATGCTAGTAGTAGACACAAAAAGTGCATTAAAAATTGAATACATTTACATTTGTCACAGGAAATTGTCCTTTGAATGAACTGTCAAATGGCTAGTAATCAGATTATAAGTATTATACACATTTAAACTGTGTTACTTCATTTTATTTTGTTCTCCAAAAACATATTTTACACTTTCTTTGTTCCGAAATATACATTATAATAAACTGACCATTCGTTCGTACATTAAAACCATCTGTTTTCTTTTTTAAATCATTGCAACAAATCAAAACTTGTCTCCACAGTTAGCAAAAGGATCATTTAAAGTGTGATCCTTCACACTCAACTGTCAACATGATTTATTCCTAACTTCTCAGCTCCTTCACCCGACACCTCTCCTTCTTTTTCTGTCTTTCACACCTCCTGACATCAGTTTTTCGCTGTAAGAAGCTTTTCCCTTTATCCTGTTCTACTAACCATTTCACTGGATGTCCTTTATCTCTCGTTATCTTCATCCTAAAAACAGGTAATAGTCTTCCTAAAAACTAATACCTAAGAGAAAAAGTGTAAGAAGCGTATTCATCTGCGCGTTTTTTCTGCTGTAACCTGCAAACGTTAGCATGCATGGCTAACTAGTTTGCTAACCTATCCCAATAGGTTGAAAACACGTAATGAGGTAGCATTACATTTGTCAAAATCATTAGTTGTTCATCATCCATTTCTCTTAAAATTGAATAGATATATTACATACAAATACAAACACTACAAGCATAGATCTAACAACTGTCTTTTGTGTCAAAATATAACTAAATAAGGTTCAATTAAAGTAAAGTTGATCCTACATTACAGTCCTTTTACTAAATACTAGGACACCTTATGCTGCAATAAGTTGATTTGGTGTACTTGTGACAGGCTTTTCGCTATGTGTCAAGTATCCTGTGTTGCCTCTACCTTTGGTCTTTACCTTCCTCCTCCTTTTTGCATCCCTTCAGGTCCATCACCAGGGCTAAATAAAGTAATACCTAAAAGAAAAAGTCGAAGAAGCGTATTCATCTGCGTGACTGTCTGCAAAACCTGCAAACGTTAGCATGCACGGCTAACTAGTTTGCTAACCCAATATGTTTGAAAAATGTAATGAGATGGTATTACATTTTTCAAAATCATTAGTGGTTCCTCATTAATTTCTTTTAAAATCAAAAATACAAACACTAGCATAAATCTAACAACTTTCTTGTGGGTCAAAGTATAGGCCAAGAAGTTGATTTGAAGTTGATCATACATTTTAGACCTAATACTAAATACTAGGACACATCTACGCTGCAATAATTGATTTCATGTATATCTTGTACCGAGTTCATCCCTATGTGTCTTTACCTTCCTTCTCCTTTTTGCACCCCTTCAGGTCCATCACCAGGGCGTATTACCGTAACTCTGTGGGCGGGCTCCTCCTATTCGACATCACAAACCGTCGCTCTTTCCAGAACGTCCATGATTGGCTGGAGGAAGCTCGCAGCCACGTCCAGCCGCACAACATCGTCTTCCTATTGGTCGGCCATAAGTGTGACCTGGAGGCACAGCGCGAGGTGTGTGAAGTATAAAAGTGAACAAAACAAAGCTTTGTTGAGTTGCTGGGGAAAGTGGCTGTTTTGGATGTTATGTAATACAGAGTGTTTAAGAAAGTGTGTAGCAGTAAAAATAACCTTGTGTTCACATTTAGATCAAAGGCAGGTTGTCTTTGTTTGTTTAATTCTCTTGGGGCAGCTGGCAGACAGAAAGCAAAAATATCACTATGGAAATTAAGACTTGGATGATACTGCAAAACGCTCTGAAGAACAGTGAGTCTAAACTCAAAATGCAATGTTTCAGCAGGGTTCAAAATGTCCAAACTAAGCCACTTCATTCTTATCAGCAAAGGGAACAAGTCTTCATCCAACTAGGAGGGATATTCTGCAAGTTCGAGACAAAAAAAGCTCCTATACCAAGGTGCACTTTACCTGACATGCACCTTAGCCGCGTTTACACCGCAGTACTTTTCCCACTTTATTTCCGATATAGTACCGAAATGTCGCATTAACACCAAAAAGAGCCGGAACTAAAATTAGTTAATCAAAACCTTTTTTACCCCCTTTTCCGTCCCTGCTAGAGAGCAGGTACTTTCGTGGGAGAGAAAGGTTCCTATGTCTGATTGGCTGGGCGGATTGCAACCACGCCCCGTAAAACTCCCAATTTTTGTATTTATTATCCTCGCATTAGCATTATTCATTATTCATCAGAACTAAAGAGTTCTCATGAACTAAGTTCTGATGAACCTTTGTGGGAAAAGTACTGCGGTGTGAATGCGCCTATTGACACCTTGACAATCAATTAATTAGTTCAGACCCCGACTAGCAACAAGTTTGTAGAGATCTCAAAATATAGGACCTTTTTCAATGCCATTTTCCTGTATGTCACAATGACGCATTTCGAGTTTGTTTAATTTATTGTGTGAAAAGTGCTATATAAATAAACTTGCCTTGCCTTCAGAGGTTTGGTACTAGCTATTCACTGCCCTTCCACATTGGGAAGCTTCATCTCATCTCCTTTGGTCTTCTAGGTAACTCGGCAGGAAGCAGAGAAGTTGGCAGGGGCGTACGGGATGCGCTACGTCGAGACGTCGGCCCGTGACGCCATCAACGTGGAGCACGCCTTCACCGAGCTGACCAGAGACATCTTCGCTCTGGTGCGGACCGGAGAAATCACGATCCAGGAGGGATGGGAGGGCGTGAAGAGTGGGTTCGTCCCCAATGTCGTTCACTCCTCGGAGGAAGTGACCAAGAGCGACCGCCGCTGTCTGTGTTGATCTGGCAAGAGTTTTGGGAACTGAAGATGAAAAGAGGGAAGGGATCCAGGAAGGATTCAGAGGAGAGTGGGCTGAGATGTCAGCCCTCTTGACTTTAACCCTCTGTGGTTCAGACTGGATACGAAAGGAGAGGTTTGAGGACTTTTAATAAAAGGTAAAAACCAGACAAGAACACCTTGAACGTGGGTGGACACAAGAGGGTTGTGCCCATATCTGTTTTATTTCCCAGAGAGGAAGGATAACAGATGCTCATTTACTCGCGAGGGCTCAAATGATTTGTTTTGGTTTGGGCATTTTGCTTGAAAATCTCTCCCGTAGCATCTTAGAAAGGCCTTAGGAAGAGGATCCATTTGGGTTTTTCGCCAAAATCAATGAGACTAATCTTTCTTTCACATTCACCTCGCCTTCCACTAATCTCTCCTCCAATATGCAATTACATGATCACTTAGGAAATGATCACCTTACGTTGGGGCAACATCCTCAGAGCACATATTATTTTAAAAAAGTCAAGTGGGCACCATTAGATCCCTCGTTAACAAGAGTCTTGTTTCTCTTGTGCTGATATTTTGCTCCACATTCCACTATCAGGGGTCAATGGAGTAGTCCTGGAGGGCCAGCGTTTAATGAGGGGTTTCCTTTCCTTGAGCTGGGAACACTATTTCTCTTTGAAGCAATTAAGGCCTCCTGTGAGCTCAATGACATTGACTTCATGGTAATATCCAGTATCATTCTGCTAAATACCGCACTATAATAAAATGTTGTCACCCATCCAGTTCCTAATGGACTCCTTTAGCAGGATAAGACAACGTGTACAGCTAAACGGACCGAGGTGGACTAACTTACGACGCCTCATTGTATGCCTTGAACTGGGGAATTGTTAAGATTGACTAATAGGAGTGTTGGAGCCAGAAAGCACTTTAACAGCCAAGTTTAACTTAACTGTGGAGCCTCGTTTGGGACTACAGACGAACACAGAGATAATGTATTCCTTGAAAGCAAAGAGACGGACCAGACCATGGACTCCAAACAACAAGGGCCACCATATCCACAATGCACGCATACAGGCAATATAATCATGCAAAGAATGTCCAATTGGCGGGCGTTAAATCAACCCAACACAGATACAGGCAGACGGAAATTACAAGGTTAAACTTTGTCCTGATTCAGTGGTTTACATGCCTTTTATGTTTGTGCGCAAGTCAATATCTCAAACATTTATTTTCATTTTTTAAATACTTAAATGCAACAGGTTGATGTACCCGGCTCGGTTACTTGGGATTTTGATTTGCCTATCCCTGCTATGATGTCTGTTCTATTTCTTTCTTTCTTTTTGAAATCCATTCTTCCACTGTCTTTCCCCCTGCAGCTCATAATTACAGTTACATTTTCTCACACTGTATGCCTTCTTTTTACACGTCTCCAAAGCCTTCTGCTTTATATTTTTACATGAATGTATCAGCAGGGGAAAAGGTGAGGTTTTTACACAAAGAAATGTGTGAACGAGTCAATGCAAAACACTTTGTCTGACAAAAGCTTGGAGAAAAGCGCTGCGCAATATCTTAGAGTGAAATACTTCCAGACATAAGAAAAATGTAATTCAAGTAATGATCTTTAAATTCATTCCAGAAATATTAACACATAAAAGATTTGTGTTTTTGACATTGAATATTGTTTTTTCCTTATAAACAGTTTGCTGTACTGAATACTTAAATACTTTTATCCACAACCACCCACTCGTTTAAAATACCTGCAATAAAATACTCTTGTGTCCTCTATACATCTCTAACAAATATTGTGTTATCCTTATTCATTTGTTTCCCAGTCAATAATGATTTTTGCCTTCTCATATAATATTGTTTTGGGTTCTCATTTCATTTATGAGTCTTTAAATTAACAGTCATAATGCAAAGCAAAGTGCAAGCTGAACATTAATAGATCATGGCAACACAACAAATAATTAATAATTAATGCAAATATTAAGGTGAGGTGAAGAAATGCTTGATTGAATTACATTTCCTAATCTGTCTCATGTTTCATGCCAGATTGTAATAGCCTATCAGTCTCCATGACAACATGATAACAATTTATTTTTAACTGTTGTTGAAAACATTGAACTCTTGTCGAATCTGAAAACTTAATTTTTTTTTCTTTTTTTCTCTTGGTTAAACGATTGTAATTCACACATCTTAAGTGACAGATTTGAATTATTTCCTGCTGTCATACTGTCTATTTTGTGACATATTGACTGGATAAAGGAAGAGAACAACGAGAGAAGTCAGGTTAACCCCAGACAGCTGATTCTATTAAAACCCAATTCGATCAGTGTGTGAAACATTGAGTCAGCAATTAAATGCTTAAAGACTTATTTTCCAGGAGCTGCTAACTGTCTGCAAGGTGATGTTAATGTTTTGGCCTCACATGACACAATACAGTATGTTTCCTTTCAATAAGTAACATGAGGTTTCTGAACTTGAAATCAGCACTGGTTTCCAGAGGAAGTGTTTACTGGCACTGCACTGTTCTCAGGAAGGATCTAACTATGTATGTATTCTGTGTATGAAAGCAGCCTCAGTTAGACTAACTGAGGCTGCTTTCATACACAGAATACATATTACTGCCTAATTTACTGAACATGTCAAGTTAATAGGTCTCTATCAACACACACACAATCTGAAAATAGGGTGCTGCTGTATCTCTAGTCAAATGTAGAGATTCAGATTGAAAGTCTCATATGAGGATTTAGCATTTATTATTTTTGTTTAACACTAAACAAGATGTAAAAATGGCATATCTTAGTTTTGAAGGGGAATTATGTGCTGGAATATTAAATGAGTCATGAAGTCTTGTCATAGGTAGAGAGTTTCAGATTTTGGACAGAAAATAGCAGTTTACCCCTGTTTCCAGTCATCATGCTAAACTAAGCTAACAAGCTGCTAGCTGTAGCTTTTTTGTATCACACACAGTTAGCCCCAAGTTGAGTCCATCATTAAATATTGTTAGATTTCATTTAAAAAGCTTAGCTAGGGTTATCTCTGTGACTTAATGTTATCTTTAATGCGTATTCAAAAGAGGCACAAACGGGCTAATTTGTGTTGAAAATTAAGCTAGCACTATCAGACAGCTAGCCGAGCAATACAAGTAAATCCGGTAAAACGGCTAGTTTCACTCATCCAAACATAGTGAAAAAATCCAGCTAGAAGCGCCCTGACACTCACTTTTTAAGATTCTGCTTTAAGTTACTGCTTGTGGACCAAAACACTATTTGCTACCTAGTTTGTGTGCTAAGCTAATCTAGCAGACTGCTGGTTTTTGCTTCATATTTACCTAAAGGACATGCCATTGGTGTCATTTTTTCATATAGAAGCTCATGTGCATTGTCAAATTCTTTAAAGCCTCGTCATTATTTCAAATGTTTTGCCATGTCCATGATGTAAAAGGAAACGTATCTGTAGAGCCTACGGGGGATGGGAAATGAATGTCCATGTTTGTGTGTAATTTCTGGGAGTTGTTAACATTTTGCACATGAAACGCCTCATGACTTTCCAAATTACTCTTTAATTTGACTTTGCACATAGATATGTTTAAAGGGGAGGAAGAGAACATAAATTGAACTGCAGCTGTCTTTTCTACCCTGCCACTCAGACATCAAAAGCATGCATCTGTTGGGTGATGACAGCTATTTTCCTGCCCTTGGTACGACAAAAACTCACTTATTTTCAACCCTCGGAGATGTACAGACAATATCACTGTCCTCAATCCTGATGGTTTACATCGGACAGTCTCTTGCTCCGCTCTAGTTATCTCTCAACAAACTGAAATGTACTAAAAATACAAATAAAATGTGACTAGAAAAAAAAAAATTGTCATTGTGAGTTTTTACACACAAGGTTGTGGCTTTTAACGTAGAGTATTTGAGAGGAAATATGTAATTCATGTCGTTTAAATTAGTAATTTAAGATTTAAAAGTGTTTGACATTAAATAGGAATATCTTACAAGCACATATTTCCAAATGTGCTTGACCTAACTCATTGGTGTTAAAGGATGATACATCAATTACAATCAATACATAAACAGATATGATTATTGTAAAAAAAAAAAAGTGTTATCTTGTCATGTCACTTTCACGAGCAGGTGGTGGTTCTCTTTTGATCATTAGGATGCAATTAAAATTAGTTCCCTCTGTCTTTATCTTTAAACATACTTAGAACAAATGCTTGCTGTGCATTAGTTCCACACATTACCACTGGGTGGAAGCACTGAGGCATACATTTGACAACACCATCTGATATCCTAAAAAACTGTCAGAGAAGCAGGTTTCTGCACATTTGTGTTCTGTTCAAATGCCTTCAAATGTTTCCTCTACGTAGAAGCTTATTTTGGATTCTCCATCTTAAGTAAGACGCTGCAAAGGGACAAGATGCATGAAAGGAAAAGGGTTGTTTTTTAGGGGAAGAAGGAAAAGTTATGGAGAAAGCTACAGGAGGAAGCAACGTATGTTTGACTTAATGGAAAAGTACAACGAGGACAACAAGCAAATATTTCATTGATTTGTGCGGTTTCCATGACTGAACGTAGATTTAAAGTCAGATTTGCAACCCTGTTACTATAATTAAGAGTAATTACAGTAACGGTGTTGTATTTCCTGCAACTCAATTTATTATTTTTAGTGTTTAAGTAAGCATAATCTACATTGGTGTTATATTACTGTTTAAACCCAGAAGATCGCAACAATTTCCCCTCTGTTAAAATGATAGTTAGATCAAGAGGTTAATAGACATTATTTAAATTAATTTCTACAAAAGGTCCACCATTGACCGCTGTTAAAAAAGCAACAAATACAACATCCAATAACATAAGTACGATTGATTCCCGAGCTGGAGGAATACATTTTGTTATGGTTTCCTACCCGTGTTTCTCAAATACATCAAAGAAAATGTGAAAATAAAGGGTTCATTTTTCAAAAGTGTTGATTTTCCTTAATTTCTTGAATGACCCTTAAATGAAGAATTTGCCAAAATGTCAAGACTTCTTATGAAACCTGAGGGAATATACCCGTAGGTTACTGTAAATAAATGTTGCACGTGGACACGCACTTCCTATTGGCCGACAATGTTTACTGCAAGGCTTCAGTGCCGCCCACCGATAAAGTGTGCCTATGGTTAGGGGTAAATTCCGCTTAGATTAGAGTCAGTTGTATTTCCTGATGTGTGGTGTGAGACCCTGTATGAGAGCTGTTTTACTGAGACATAGGAGAGGTGAAGTCGGAGAACGCCATAACTGAAATCCTCTCTTCATCTTTCACTCCGTCCCACCCCGACATTTCCCTCCGAAGGCTAACGTGATGTTGCTCTGCTGGAGAAGAACTTGTCCACGGCGTGCATGCTTAAAACAACAACCACATGTTACCTGCAGGTTAAAAAACATTTTCTAACCCATCTGTTGAAATCGAGGAATAAACACACCAGGTGAAGGTATTTTCTCTTTGCCCAAATGTTCTTCTTTTACTTCAGAAGTAAAAGAAGAACATTTGGGCAAAGAGAAAATACCTTCACCTGGTGTGTTTATTCCTCGATTTCAACAGATGGGTTAGAAAATGTTTTTTAACCTGNCGTTCATTTCATATGGCTCTATCTGCAGCTTTCAGAGTCATTTCTATGATTACATTTTCCACAGGCCAACAACAGCTTCAAAAAAACTATTTCCCTCAAAGAAAAAAACAAACATGCCCTGTTGTCGCAAGAAAAAAAGTGCAGAAGGAAACATCCATGTAAACTCAGTTTGCTGCTGTGATGCTAGTTCAAGCCGATACGTGGCATCTCATCTTGGGTGCTAGGTCATCAATGTTTGGGGTCAGGCTCTGAGCTGAGGAGACCCTCAGGATGGAGTGAAGGTGTGCGTGCAATATACCGGCGGGCCAGATCGAATAGTAATTAAAAATTATCCTGCGGGCCGAAATTAAATCCACCGAAGGGCCTGATTTGGCCCCCGGGCCTTGAGTTTGACACATGTGTTTTATGGTGATGTTATATCTGAAAAAAAAAACATATTTAAACATTAGAAAATAACAGAATTATTGTAAAATGTATGCTACTTTCAATTAGTGTCTTCATATTTAAGTAATGCTAGTTTATATAATGTACAATATCCAGAAAGTAGATGCAAAAATATTATATAATGTTTGCATCTACAACCTTTCCCCTGAAAGAGTGTCAAATGTAAGGACCGTTTTCAGTGATGACATTAATAAAGTTTTACAAAACGCTTGAAGACAGATGTGTTTTATTTGTCCAAGCAGTGAGAACACATTTCACATTTAAATTTAAATCTTACTATCTGCTTTGCATCCGGATCAGTGACAATACATTTCCATTTGTCTTTGCATCCTGGTGCTCAAGCCTTAGAGTTTTTTTAATACATCAACCATGATGCTGGAATAATTTAAATATAGTTAAAATCAAAGATCAGGCTGCTTTTAGGGGAGAATATATAGTCATTTAAACTAAAAATCTATCTCATTGGAACTCTGCAATTGTAGTCTGTGTTAACTAGAATTGGAGTCCGTTGTAATGCATACTTGATGCCCTGAATTTTGATTTACTTTGTTATTATCACCTGCAGATCAATATTCACACCCTCTCAATCACCGAAAATAAAGCCAAACTTGCTTTTTCTTTGCACGACGACATGCAAGACAAGTTATAGCATTCGCAACTTTTATGAATGGATAATATAGTAAGTTGAGTAGTAGTGGTGAGCCATTCGTTTTAAGTGATTATATATACACTAATGAGCATAGTTCATATTACATGAAATCTCTGCCAATAAACACCACTTTATTCTACACATAGCATAGGGCGTGAAGGACCACATTTGGTTCTGGTTTTTAGCAGTAGCAGTCTGCGGTCTGCCTTTACGCTGTTTTATGCATTTGACGTAATGACGCAATGACGTAATGACGCATAGACTTGTACGTAAAGAAGGAGGAAGGTGTAGCCTCTCTCCAACATGGCGGCGACCATAGATACCAGCAATGCCGTTCAGGCTTCAAAGAAAAAGCATCTCGGGATCCCCGAAGCTATTTTTGTGGTGCGTAAAACTGGCATGTACTGGTTTAGGTTGTCAGAACTCCACATTGACGTCTGAAGGGTGAAAACACAAGTGTTATTGTTGTGGTGTATGTGTGGGCGCGTCATGCTGGCTATGAGCTAGTTAGCTTAATGCTAACCCTGCAGTGTGTGCAGGGCGGCTCCTCACGTCCATCTATGGACATCATCCCACAGTCTGTGTGTGTGCGAGCTGCTTCTGCATTTTACTTCACCTCTTTTGCTCTGTAGGCTTTTAAACAACTGTAGTTAGCTACATGTTAGCCTAATAAGTTATAACATGCTCTACTAATGAAAGTCTGACTAAATTAGCATTAGCTGCCTCCAACCTCTTCCCCTTTTCAGGAAATATCAATCCTGTGGAAGGATACTTAACAATATTTACTGAAGTAAAAGTATACTTTCAATTCTCCACTACAGATGCACGGTATGCATTAAGTAGCAAATGTCCAAAACTTATCAACATTATGTGAAAGTACTGAGACAGTAGAATGTGTCAGTCAGTGTTTAACTAATATATATAGTTTTGGATTGATACTACGATAGCATCATTAATGTATTTCACTACTGTAGATCTGTAGATGTTTCAACATTGTAGTAGACTAAAAGTATAAAGAAGCATGAAAATAATGTATAAAGTAAATAACATTCACTCAAATTGTATGTACTGTATTGTAAGTACCTCATTTCCTTTCTGTATACAGTAGAAAACATGTACCTCCTGATCTGGTGACACAATGACGTTTGAAGTGTTCATATATAGACTTAACATTTACCCATTTGAAAAAAGAAACATTTTTTTTTATTGTTAACCAAGGTGCACACTTTTCAGTATAGAAATGGGAATGATATGTTAATGTTTGAGGTAGTTTTAAAATGGTTTTGCTATATCATCGGAAGTACCCAACAGAGACTGGTCCGTTCTACCTTTGCTGCTCTTTGACAAATGTTTTTAAGGCAACTCAAAGTGACCCAACTTAAAATGTATGCTAGATGATCTCTCTTTTAATGTCCTGTCTCTTCTGCTGTGTCCTACAGGAGGATGTGGACTCCTTTATGAAAAAGCCTGGCAACGAGACGGCAGACTCTGCGCTGAGGAAGCTGGACGAGCAGCACCAGAAATATAAATACATGGAGCTCAACCTGTCCCAGAAGAAACTCAGGTAACACCAACAAAAAGAGACTTCATCTACTCGCATAAAATAAGTTGGAACTAGTGTTCGATTTTATGAAACTATAGTTTTACTGAAATGTTTTACTTCTCTTGATGTATAGGTTGAAAAGCCAGATCCCACAAATCTCACAGACGCTAGAAATCCTGCGACACATGCAGAAGAAAAAGGTGTGTATTGCTTTTATAAAGTAACATTAATATAGAAAACTCAGTATCCTAACTGATGCTATTTTTTATGTAATTCTTTTTTTTACTATTTAAAAACTGTTTGGATTATAAGACCCAAAAAACCCAGATTGATAAATGTCAAGATATAAATATCAGTACATTTTCCCAATATTTATCTTAAAATTCTTAGTTTTTCATCTTCACATTCTTTAAAACCTAACAAAAGAAAATATTTATAAGCTGCAAAAAAAAACTAAATACGAATGGTATTTTTTTAGATCTTGTTGTATATTTCTTTATAAACATTTGCAAGGCTTTCAATTAGATACAAGTGTCAGCGTAAATCAATCTGAGCATTGTGTTAGAATGAAACATTTCTCAAAAACAGACTGAGTTAAATAATTAAAATATGTTTTATAAATGCAGCCTTCTGACCATTTGTTATGTTTTGTTCTCAGGACACCAAAACTCCCATGGACACGCACTTCCTATTGGCCGACAATGTTTACTGCAAGGCTTCAGTGCCGCCCACCGATAAAGTGTGCCTATGGTTAGGGGTAAGTACCGCTTAGATTAGAGTCAGTTGTATTTCCTGATGTGTGGTGTGAGACCCTGCATGAGAGCTGTTTTACTGAGACATAGGAGAGGTGAAGTCGGAGAACGCCATAACTGAAATCCTCTCTTCATCTTTCACTCCGTCCCACCCCGACATTTCCCTCCGAAGGCTAACGTGATGTTGCTCTGCTGGAGAAGAACTTGTCCACGGCGTGCATGCTTAAAACAACAACCACATGTTACCTGCAGGTTAAAAAACATTTTCTAACCCATCTGTTGAAATCGAGGAATAAACACACCAGGTGAAGGTATTTTCTCTTTGCCCAAATGTTCTTCTTTTACTTCA